GGCTGCACATCTGGAGGGCAGAGTGGGAGGGAGCGCACTCGGCAGGAAGAGAAGCGGAAGAGAGAGACGCACACGGAGGGAAGGCGGCCACGCGTACCTGAGTGATGGAGGACAAGGTGGGTGACATTGTTGGCGAAAACTGTTTGGGCAGCTGCTGTTGGGACCTCCTGGCGTCAGCTGGGCCCGAGGGCAGACTCAGGGGGCTGAGGGGCACACGGCGGTGGCGGGGGGAGGTCCCGGGGGTAGAAGCCGGGTAAGGGGGGGCACCCAGGGCAGGAGATGAGGCAGAGGAGGAGGAAGCCGAGGAGAGGGCTGGGGCGCTGAGCGAGGGGTGGCCCAAGGAGGCGGTGGGCAGTGCGTGTCGGGCCAGGGAGGAGGCAGGCAGGGAGGGGTGGCTGTGGGAGCCCTGGAGCTGGGGCAGGGGGCTGCCCAGCGAGGCCTGCAGGTTGGGATTGCTCAGGGAGGCCTGCAGGGGTGGGTGGCTGAGAGGGGAAGGGAGTCCTGCACAGACAAAAACCAGAGATGCCAACGTTACTGACGGGAGCTGGGCCCCCTTCTGCCCGGAACAGGTAGCGGGGACCAGGCTACGGAGGTGGCAAGGCGCCGCCCTCCCTGCTCTGTCCCTGACGGTGAGGCCGGCATGGCCCGCCTGGGGGCTGCCCTCATCGCCTCTCCCTTTTCCAGAAAAAGCCACACCTACAGCGTAGGAATCCTGGGGTAGGCCGGTGTGCGCAGGCGCGGGAGGGTCCCAGGCGCTCAAGCCCCCTACCCGTCACCCCCCCGGGGAGCACGGCCGGCGCAGCCACTCGCCTGGTGCATCACAGCCCGAGGCGGGGGCCGGGCCCAGGCCCAGGCCCCCGCTGATGCCCAGGTGGGTCATGGTGTGGGTCAAGTTGGAAGTACTGCTGCCCCCACTCAGGCTGGGGTAGGCGGTCTCCTCGGGGTCCAGGGGGGTGGGCAGTGGAGGGGGGAAGTGCAGGTTGGTAAGGTCAGGCAGGGAGCCTCCC